GAATAAGAACCTTTGGTTGTGGGGCTAGGTAACTGGTACTTTGTGAAATCCCATCAGGGATCCATTGTGCAACCAAGGTTGAGAATTACTGATTCAAACCAGTAAGTTTCTAGTTTTAAGTACAAATAATAACTAATTTCACCAAGTGGTTATTATATTATATTATATTTTTGTTTATTTATTTATTATATATTTTTAAATATAAAATTTTTAAATATAAGTAAGAGCATTCCAAATATTATCTTATTTAATCCTTACAACAACTCTATTAATTGTGTACAATTATTATGCCCATTTTATAGATAAGAAAACTGAATTTTAGTGAGATTAAGTAATTTGTTCAAGGTTGAGGGTACAGAATATGCCACCCCCAAATATGCCACTTTGGCATAAAGATTATTTTAAGCTAAGGGTATTTGAGATTCAACAGCTGCAGAAAAAAAAAGGCTTTTTAGAGCGTTCCTTATCTGACTAAAAGCAACAACTTCTGGGAAATAAGACTACCATAAATTCTTCTTGAGGACAGATGTACTCCCAGAAGGAAGGATGAGAATGAAATAGAATGAAAATGAGAATGAAAAAAAAAATGAGAATAAAACCTACCTTAAATCCTTTATTTAGGGAAGTTTTATGGTCCAAAAGGAGACAAAAAGACCAAGATAGAAAACCATTGTCACAAACTTTCTTATTTCCTGTTTGTTCTCCTGAAAATCCATTTATCTTTCCAAAAAGTCATTTGTTTTCCTCTAAGTGCCTTTCTCCTCTTCCCTTTCACCTATTAAGATGGTATATAAACCCCAAACCTAATAATCTCTTTGAGTTATTCATCACTGATGTTTCTCATGTGTGTGCATGTTGCACATGTAAATAAACCGATATTTACCTCATGTTAATCTGTCTTTTGTCAGTTTAATTTGCAGGACTCCAGGAACAGAACCTAAGAGGGTAGAAGAAAAGTTTTTTTTCCCTCACTTACAAGGTCATGTAGCTATTAAAAGGAGGAACAGGGATTTAAACCCAGACATCTGCTTCTATAAACTGGGCTCCCCATTACTAGACTACTCTATTTATTATTATTGTTATTATTATTATTATTATTTTAAAGATTTTACTGATTTATTTGACAGAGGCAGACACAGCGAGAGAGGAAACACAAGCAAGGGGAGTGGGAGGGGGAGAAGCAGGCTTCCCGTGGAGCAGAGAGCCTGATGCGGGGCTCGATCCCAGGACCCTGGGAGCCACCCAGGCACCCCAATTTATTATTAACTGAAAAAAAAAACTCCATCTTAAACTATTTTACCACACACTGTATTTTAAATAAAGTATATAAAAAGTCACAAGCACTTTTCTCCAGATTTAAGTTAATGTACTTTTTCTAGTGCCACTGAATCTTATTTTGAATCAGATTCTTCACATACCTTGTCTACAGCTTTGGCACATTACAGAAATTTATTAAGTACCCTTTCAGTTTGTTTTCTGTCCTATAGATTTTCCCCCTCTTGGCCACTGTTTGACTCCACATCTGTTTAGGCTATTAATATTATTCAAAGGCAAAGCTTTCATATGATTTCCTTTATTTTAGAGGTAATATGGTACAGTGATTTTACATATGAGCTTTGAAGCCAGACAATCCTGAAGCCATAGAATCCAGTTTGAATTCTGCACTGTCACTGCATGGTAAGTACTCAGTAAATATCAGCTAGTCTTCTAGCATTTTAATAAACTAGAATGTGTGTCTTGCTTCAATTTCTCTCTTCATGCAGAAGCAAAAAGGACCTTAGTCATCTAAGGTGCCTTTAAATAACAATAACACTACAATTTTAACTATCACCACCACAACAATAATAGCTGACATTTATTGAGTGACTACTATGTATTATCTTAAATACTTTCCAATGGATTAATTTAATTATTTCAATAACCCTATAAAGCAGGAGTTATCACTATCTTTAGTTTATAGACAGGAAACTGAGGCCCAGGGAGATTAAGTAACTTTTCCAAGGTCATGTGGATAAGAAGTGGCAGAGATATTTTCTGAACCCAGGTAAGTCTGGCTTCGGAATCCACACTCTTTATTACTTTTCTATATTGCTTTATACTGCTTCCTATAGGAAATGCTACTGTTATGTATTTCTTCAAATCAGAAGGAATAATTTTCCAGTGTCTCCAAAACAATGGTTCCTAGTCTTAGGACTTCACAGGATATTGAAATTTAAAAGAAGATTCTGATAAACAGCATAGATTTGCCACTTTTAAGTTTTGACAAGAAAGGACCTCAAACTACCAACCACTACCACTATCATTTACTATTAGTCCAAAATAAAGGAGGACTTAATACCCCCAAAGTAGTATGGATATAACTTAGATAGCATCCTAATGCTATATGTATTCATTCGTACTGTCCTTAAACTTTCCACTTTGTTGAGGACAAAGACTTTAAACAGTCTCCTTCCTTCTTCCTAATACTAGGTTAATAGCTAGATGCTACTTGCATTTACTTATTTATTTTTTTTTCATTTTAACAGTTTTTATTTCAAGTCGCATATAAGATTACTTTACTCCTGCATCTTCTCAATTGTTTCTTCCTTATATTTGCCCTTTTCCTTTCCTACTTGGCGAGATTTGGCTTTACGTTCAAGGATCTTTTTGCGGTCTTTGTTCAGTTTTAGTCTGGTGATAACCACCTTGCTAGGGTGATGCCTACATGGATGGTTGTGCCGTTTGCCTTCTCTCGCTGCACTCGTTCAATGTAGATGACATACTTCTTCCTGTAAACCTGGACTACTTTGCCAATCTGCTGACCTTCGCAGTGTCCTCGCACAACCTGCACTTCATCATCCCTTCGGATGGGCATGGAACGAACGTTGCACTTCTGTCTCAGCGCTTTGCAAAGAGCGAAAGACATGATCTTCCTGCCAATGTGGGAAGGTGCATTGAAATGCCGTTTTCGGTTCTTGCTCCGGTCAGAAGTCACAAAGGGATTAAACTTCATTTTGGCCGCTGGCGCTTCAGCGATGGCCGCAAGAGGGAAGAGCTAGATGCTACTTGCATTTAGATGTAACAGCTCTTTTAGTAACGTTTACAATTTGTCTTTCTAGAAAGAACCTGTATTTTGGATCTGGAAACTAACAGTGGTATTAATTAAAAGTTGTTGCGCTTTTTTTTTTTTTTTAAGATTTTATTTGACAGAGAGAGAGAGACAGCGAGAGAGGGAACACAAGCAGGGGGAGTAGGAGAGAGTGAGAAGTAGGCTTCCTGCAGAGTAGGGAGCCTGATGTGGGGCTCGATCCCAGGACCCTGAGATCATGACCTGAGCTGAAGGCAGACGCTTAACGACTGAGCCACCCAGGTGCCCCTAAAAAGTTGTTGCTTTTTAACAGAAGGTGGAATAAAAGATCTTATAGGCATTTTGTTCCACTAAAGTGGCCAAAGGACTTAACAGTCTGAGTGGCCTTATTTCTCATTCTTGAAATTTTGAAAGGTGAAATAAACAGTTTTGGGATTAGCACTTCTTTCATTCCAATGCATTAAATTAGTAGTGCATACCACTGAAAATGAGAACATTTCAGTTAAAACCTTTAAGTTTGCAACAGTGACAGCATTTTAATAGGATTTTTTTTTTAAAGATTTTATTTATTTATTTTGACAGAGAGAGAGAGAGAGACAGCGAGAGAGGGAACACAAGCAGGGGGAGTGGAGGAGGGAGAAGCAGGCTTCCCACGGAGCAGGGAGCCCGATGTGGGGCTCGATCCCAGGACCCTGGGATCATGACCTGAGCCGAAGGCAGGCGCTTAATGACTGAGCCACCCAGGTGCCCCAATAGGATTTTTATCTTTTGCACCTTTGATTCCCTCTGGAGTCCTGATCCCTGAGTGCTTTCAGCAAATTGCCACATCAGCAGAAATCTACATGAACACTGGCCTTATTAATTTTTTACTGATAACATTGTGAAATGAGAAGGCTCAGTGCTTACCAGTTGCACTTTGAACTTGACAACAAACATGAATTATGTATACATGGAAAAATTATTTGAAACAATTTTCTTTTAGTTAACAGTCTATTGGACCCTTGTTTTATGTTATGCCTTTAGATAAATTAAATTTGAATGGTTCACAATTATAACCGATTATATTGAGCTTCAATTATAATTCCTAATTGATTCAAGCCTATTAGCACAATGTTAGTAAAAGGCAGTGGTTTGCTCCTAATGAACTTTTATATATTAGGTAATCACTAAATCACTAAAATCACTAGTCATTAAAAACAGGAGTCTCCTAAATTTCTTAGGGTGGATCCCTCAGGTTGGATGTCTGGGTTCTCAAGATCTGGATTAGCATCTTTTGAGAACAGAAAGGAAGTTAGGACAAAGAACATAACTCAGAACACTAAATAGCTTCTTATTCGTCCTGGCGCCACCAGTCCAGGGTCCTGCTCCCTCACAGTTCTGTAATCTACGCTCAGTGACTTTTTTCTTTCTCAATACAAAGGAATGACCATTTTCTTTCCTCATCGATCCTTCTAGTGTTTTGTTTGGAGGATGATGGTACATCGAAAAACTTTTGAGAACCCCTCCCTCCATTTTGAGAATTCAGAACTTTATAGCTTTTGTATAAGGATTAGAGTGAAGACTCTTACAGACTCATGTTGGAATAGCAAGCACGAAGGCGGCAACGTACGGACATTTGGGTGCTGAAGTGAACCTGGAGTGTGGACAGAGGCGGTAGCTGAAAAATCGTGGAGACCAGGGTGTAAACTCAGTTCTAGTCAACGCGGGCATGGGTTCCAGGTCTGAGACACCAATCACCTCACAAGAGGTGCGGCGAAATTCCACACTACCCAGAACAACAGCAATCCAGACACAGGCCGACCCCTACCGAACTCCGCTGCAGGTGCTCTGTAGGCGCTGGATGATGACGTACTCCGCAGACCAGGCGGTGATTGGCTTACGAATGGGGCGTGGGCTGCTAACGCAACGCGGGGCAGTGCTCGCGAGAGCTGCGGGCTCCGGTGCGGGATGGCCGCTGAGCCGGGCGGAGCTGGCGCGCGGCTCCCGGAGCCGGCTCTCCGGCCCAAGACATGGCCCGGGGGCCCGGCCTGCTAGGCCGGCCTCGCCCCGACGCGGTCGCCATGCCCAAGAGAGGGAAGCGACTCAAGTTCCGGGCCCACGACGCCTGCTCTGGACGAGGTGGGCGAGGGGGCGGGGGCGTTGAAAGACTGGGTGCTGGCGGCAGGGAGGGGGCTGGACAGCGCCGAGGCGAGCGCTCGCTTGCTTGTAATGGGAGGGCGCTGGGGCCGGAGACCTGCAGTGAGCAGGAGGTCTTGGCGGAGAGGACGCTGACGGAGAGAAGGCTTCCTCCTGTGAGGGTTGTTGCTGTATTTCAGTGACCGTGGCGGATTATGCCAACTCGGATCCGGCGGTCGTGAGGTCTGGACGGGTCAAGAAAGCCGTCGCCAATGCTGTGCAGCAGGAAGGTAGGCTGCCGAAAGACTCAGGCCGGGAAGGCGGAACTAGGTGTTTTATTTTCCTGGAACCCCGCCTCAGTGTTTTTCTTGCAAAAGCCTTTGGGCATCTTCCCATAAACGTGTTTGCTGTCTTCAGTGGCCCCTCATGTATTCGGAGGAGGGGGAAGGGAGGATTAGCCAAGAGCAGTAGCGCTTTTTGTAGCAGAAATATTTTCTTTCTTTGCATCAAAAAAAAAAAAAAAAAAAATCTTTGCGTACTCTTCTGTAGTTTCCACTGCTTTCTTCTCGGTTAGTCATCTTTTTCCTGTGGTTCACATATATTCCCCACTGACTGTGCAGTTTGTTTCTTTGTGTAATAATCCTGAGGTATGCTTTTCCTTTTCTCATGTTTCTCTTACTTTCAAGCTTTTTACTCACAGGTACCTGAGACTTGTGTTTTTATGACACCTACTGTCTCCAACATAGGAACAGGGTCAAATTGGCTTCATTTTCTCTCAAACATTGCTCCTCAGAATTTATACAAATGAGAATAGCATTTACTTTTTGTTTTTATCCTGCAGGGTTTATAGTGGGAGAATAATGTGCTCCCTTTTTCTTCAGGTCTGAAGTTGACACTTTTAAGGAGTCAGTCTCTGCAACTTTGGGGTCAGTTTGCCTATTGCTTTCCAGTTTTTAGTATTTAAAATGCTAAAATTTCTTTCTTCTTAGTTCTCACCTTTCTTCAGCAGACTCTCTCACACTATTGCTTTTTTCCCCCCCTTGTTTTCCTTATCCTCATGGATGCTGATATCCTGTCTAAGTCATTTGTATTTCTGGATGGGACTCTGCCATCTCATTCTCCCCTTATTTTCTTCTAGTAAAATCTCTTTGTGGCTTGGAAGCCTCCCAGGTTCCTGCAGTGGAAGCTCTTTCTGGGGTTGGTGAGCCCTGTGACATCATTGACAGCAGTGATGAGATGGATGCCCAGGAGGAGAGCATCCGTGAGAGAACCGTCTCCAGAAAAAAGAAAAGCAAGAGGCATAAAGGTATAGGGCTTGTTTGCTTTTGGATTAGTCCTGTCTGTGGTGATAACTTGAAGCTGTTCACTTTCTCAGTAGCATAAGAGGTGATACCAGTGGAGAACCAGGGTTTGGATCTTAGTAGTGTGACAGGTTTAATATACCAGGGCTTTCTGTTTTGTCTAAAAATGAGAAGAAAGGAGATAGGTAAGAGTCAGATCGGTAAGATAGTCCAGTAGATTTCTGGAGCTGTAAGCTCAACTATAGTAGCCATTCCTTGAGAACATGTCATTATTAGGTGAAAACCCATATGGTAACATGAAAACAAAAAGCCTTTGCATTTCTGGATTTCTGAACAGGTAAGGAATCAAAGATGTGACAAAAAAATGTTTTCCCAAGTATGTGGATTGTATATAACCGATTTCCTTTCAGCTGAAGCTAGATACTACTACGGACTTTTAAGTGCTCTGCAGTTATTAATGTCTGCTTTATGTCTAATAGATACTGTGGGAAATAGAAAAGTATGTGATTTTATACCTAATGGCAATAAAACTCACACAAGTGAAACAAAGAAAAATAAGCTAATAGTATATAATATGCCAAACCTTCATGCAGTGGTTTGCTCTAGACTTAATGAATCAGACTTTCTTGGGGTAGTACCCAGAATAGCTATTAAAGCTAAAGTGGTTCCAGTGATCAGTTAGAGTTAGGGGAAGCTAATGTAATAAGTGATATATGTATTTTTGGTTTCAGATCTACCAGAACTTTTACCTGTACTTGAGAGTCAGATAACAAATATTTGTATTTACTGAAATACATTGAAATAATTGGTAATTAATGAACTGCCATCGCTTTGCAATTATGCCAATTATTGTCAGTGATACCATTGTTTTCCAGAAGGCCAAAATTAATATTGACATTCCTCATACTTCTTTGTTTTTTAATTTCTTTCTTGAAATCCCTGCTCATCATCACCATGCTATTAGAGATTTATCTTGCTCTGTTTTGTTCTTGGGCACACTCCGTAGAACAGCTTGCAGACTTTTAAAACATCCTTATTGACATAAAATTCACTTTTTTAAAGTGTTCAATTCAGTGGTTTTAGTATGTTCACATGGTTGTGCAGCTATCAACGTGCTTTAAGTTTAGAACATTTCTATTACTCCAGACCTGTTAGCATTATTTCTCATTCTCTCCCAACCCTCCCACTCCCCCGGCCCACCCCCCTGACCACTAATTTACTTTCTGTCTTTATAGATTTGCCTGTTCTGGACATTTCATATAAATGGAATCACATAATATGTGACCTTTTGTGTCTAGCTTTTCTCACTTAGCATGTTTTCAAGTTCATTCATTTTGTAGGATAGGTCAGTCCTTCAGTGTTTTTTCAGTTGGCTATTTTGAATAATGCTGCTATGAACACCCTTGGACAAGTTTTTACATGGACATACATTTTCATTTTTGTTGGGTAGGAGTGAAATTGCTGAATCACATAATAACTCTAGTTTAACTTCTTGAATAATTGTCAGTGTGTGTGTGTGTTGTGTTTTAAAGATTTTATTTATTTGAGAGAGAGAGCATGAGAGAGCACAAGCCAGCGGGAGGGGCAGAGGGAAAGGGAGAAGCAGACTTCCTGCTGAGCAGGGAGCCCAACACAGGTCTCAGTCCCAGGATGCTGGGATCATGACCTGAGCTGAAGGCAGACACTTGACGAACTGACTGAGTCACCCAGGCGCCCCGCCGGTGTGTTCTTTGAGGTTTCCATTCTACATTCCACCAGCAGTGTGCAAAGAGTTCCAGTTTCTCTACATTCTCGCCAACACTTGCATTGTCTGACTTTTTAAATCATAGCCATCTTAGTGGCTGTCAAGTGGTATCTCATGGTTTTGATTTGCATTTCTTTGATGGCTAATGATGTTGAGCATCTTTTCGTGTGTGCTTATTGCCCATCTGTATGTATTCTTCAGAGAAGAAGAAATGTCTATTCAAATCCTTTGCCCATTTTTTTTTTTTAAGATTTTATTTATTAGAAAGAGAGTGGGTGCAACAGAGAGAGCACAAGCTGGGGTCTCCCAGCTGGGAGGAAGGAGAAGCAGACTCCTCGCTGAGCAGGGAGCCCAACATGGGACTTGATCCCAGGACTCCAAGATCATGACCTCAGCTGAAGGCAGATGTTTAACCGACTGAGCCACCTAGGCGCCCTCCTTTGCCCATTTTAAATTTGGGGTATCTTTTTATTACTGAGTTGTGGGAATTCCTTGTATATTCAGGATACTAGTCACTTACCAGATATATGATTTGTGGCTTACAGACTTGTAACTATAATTCATCTTTTAGTTGTTTGCTCTGCTTTACTCCCATTAGGTTCCTTTGTTCTAGTCAGACTGGTCTTTTTTTCCCCTTCTTTCTTTAGCTTCTTTTTAATGAAACGAATATAGAAGAAGAGAGAATAGTATAAGGAATCCCACCTAGCTCTTAACCCAGCATTAACACTGACTCATGGCCATTTTTGTTTCAGCCACTGTTCCCCCACCCCAACACACAGACTGTGCATTATTCTGAAGTAATTCCCAATATCCTATTATTATCTCTAAATGTTTTGGTAGTTCCCTCCAAAAGACAAATACTCTTTAATAAAAAAAAATTAATCATGTCTAAAAAAGTTTACAGTAATTTCTTGATAGCATCAAAATCCTGTTAAACTTTTCTCTTTATTGCCATCACATGTATTTTGTTTTTCTAAGTATCTGGGCTTCCTGTTAGTTATTTATTTCAATTGGAATACTTTTGCTCTTAATCTGTACCTATCAAAGTTCTTTCTCTCCTTCATGGCTTATCTCTGTGGAGCTTTCTTTTACTGATTCCATTTCCTATGTTTTGAAATTTCTTAATAATGTTGTTTAAAATACTGACAGTTATTCCTCATCAGTAATTACTGCGGTTTGTCCCTGAAGACAGAACATTTTTTAATAGCACTGTGCTTTGTAAAGGTCCTGATGGGTCTCGGGAGAAATTCTGATAGTCATTTACCTTCTCCTTCAGAGAGAGACTTAATGTGGGAGAAGATGGGGCTCAAACATGTTAGGACTAAGCCTTCAGTGGTCACTGGAGATTACAGGGAAGATTAGGAACCAGAAAAGAGGATGTCATTTTAGAGGTACTGGTCTCTGTTATGAAGAACCTAATGCAATAACCTGTCTGAGTCATACTGCTGCAGTTAGCTTGAAAAGTAGAGGCAGCTTTGGGGAGCTGTAGTGTAGGATCTTTTTGCCCAGGAAACAGAAAGAAGAAAGCTGGTTTTTGGATAGTTCTGTGAGTAGGTCTGAATTATAGGTTAGAAGTAGGGTTTGCCCAGATGCAAGTGTCTTTATGGAGTGTGAGTTTTTACTTGGACCTGAGACACCGAGTGGACCTCAGGGTCAAGAGAATGAATCCTAACAAAGTCTGAAGGAGAAGGAGGTGGGGATACATTGTCACAGGGCATCTGAGTACTGAACGCCTATGGGTGGGATCATAGGTCAAACTGGCAATGAAATGAGGAACTAGAAGGAAAGAAACGTCTACAGGCATTTACTGAGTAATGAAAATATACCATAACTTACTGGGTGTTTTATTGAGCTTGCACTTTGAGGTTTCCTCATACCATCTTAAAATCAGTTGTTGTTTTAAATGACTGAACTGAAGACAGTGTTTGGTGGAAGGGGACCATGAGGGAAATCAGGGGCAGAGTTTTTAGTGCAAAGCTGGAATTTAGAGTAGAAACCTGGGTCTGTTTACCTTAACTAGTGGCAAGGTTATGACTTCTTACTAGTAAAATGGGCACAGTAATATTTTCCTTATTTGTGTTGAAGAATTATTAGAATGGAATGATAGTAAAGTGTGCAAAACTTTGATAAACTTTGAAAACTTCAAAATAGTATGTGAATAGTTGTTAAAGAAAGGCCTTAAGAATGAGACCCAGTCACTTGGGCAACAGGAAACGAAAGTTTCCAGCAGCTAGAAGAAGCAGGAAATGATGAGTCTGAGAGGCTTCATTGGACCTATTTAAAACTATTTTCTTAACTGTGCAAGCCCTGGGAGAATTGAAATGACTGGGGATCTTTAGATATGTCCATAATCGAAGTTCAAAGCTTATAGTTCTTTTTTTTTCCTGTTTCAGAAGACCTGGACGGGGCTGGAGGAGAAGAGTATCCCATGGATATTTGGCTATTGCTGGCCTCCTATATCCGTCCTGAGGACATTGTGAATTTTTCTCTGATTTGTAAGAATGCCTGGACTGTCACTTGCACTGCTGCCTTTTGGACCAGGTTGTACCGAAGGTGCGACCACAGAGACTCGTTCTGTTATCTGTGTAGCTGATTTCATTGCTGTTTGTGATTTGGAGCTACTCCCTGGATGGTGACCTCTTTTCATTTTCTCTACTCCATGCCTGGGCATGAGCCTAGCTTTGGACTCCTTGAGCCCCTCTCTAATTTAAGTTTGGTATTATTAATTTGTCCAGGTAATTGTCTTCCCTTTGGTTGCCCCCTCCCCCCATCCAGTATCCACTTTCAGCAAAAAGTCTTGCTTCAGGTCTTAAAAAGAACTGTGTTTGACTTGTCTTCAGAAGTTTATCTTAGCTAGAATTTTCGAAAGCTGTAGATGCCTATCTATTTATCTTTCTAACTGGATTGGTTGTTTCTTAGTTGGGTAGTTACCATGAAGTATCATAGAGTTTTTGTACTCATGCTGCCCTGTGTTTAGTTGTAGTGGTGAGGAAAGAGTGAATGATAGGATTAATAAGACAGCTTTTGATACCAGGTGCAGAAGTGTAATGAAGATTATAAACTGTCAGGATGTTGTGGGAAGGGATGTTGAAGTGGAAGGGTGTAGAGAACTTGCTGAGACCCGTGGTGGGAGAACCTGGTGGTTCTTCAGTACACATTCCTTTTGAGCAACTGAAGTATATTCTACTGGTGTCAAGTCCGAGACTTGCCGTTTTTTGGAGTAAAATAGGATTTAAAATTTTAACATGGTTGGAGGGCAGGATTATAAGGTATATGTGAATTGGGTTTTGCATAGCAAAGAAGCAAAAGTAGCTGAGAAATGAAGGAGGTGTGATGTGTGTGTGTGTGTGTGTGTTTGTGTGTCTGTGTGAGTGAGAGAACACTGGGGACAAGCTAACTACTGGCCAGTAGAACAGTATAGTTAAATGGACACAGAGACCAGGGGTCCTAGGAGACTGAGCTAGAGCAGGAGAGACAGGTCACATATTGGTAGGAGTAATGTGTCGTGTTTCAGGCACTACACGCTGGGTGCCTCTCTGCCTTTGCGCCTGCGACCAGAGTCAATGGAGAAGCTGCGCTGTCTGCGGGCGTGTGTGATCCGATCTCTATACCATATGTATGAGCCCTTTGCTGCTCGAATCTCCAAGAATCCAGCCATTCCAGAAAGCACTCCCAGCACATTAAAGAATTCCAAAGTAAGTGAGAATTATTGTTGGGGCCTAACTAATGGTATGGTGGGCCTGTTATTATGGCTTGTCTCCGGATTCCTTGATGGGGAGGGCTAGGGCTGTTGGTCCCAGGCTGCCAGGGGGCTAATGCAAACTTTCAGGGTTTCACTTCTCTAAGACATTCCTGCTCTGTTGGGCTGGCTTCTCTTCTCTTTACCTTAAAGCTTTCTTGTGCTTTTAGCATATTCTTTATTCTCTTTAATTTATTCTCATGCATTGTACATTGGACCACTTTAGATGATTTTGATGGTTTGGGTTAGGAAGAGCACAACTCAGATGGTAGATGTAAACTGTAAATCTTCCAGGGTGCTGTAAATCATGATGCAAAGATATAACATGAACACCTTAGTAATTTTCTTTTCCTAACGTGACCTTGAAATCTGGGATTCTTCTTTCTTGTTGACCTCTTTAAAAGATTTTGGTATAGACTTTAACATACGCCAAGGGCCAACTATTGCCAAGCTCTGGGCTAGGTTGTTTCAGAGACTATAACTCACAGACTTTAGCTCTCTAAAATTCTTCCTGTATCCTAGGCTATTTCTTATATCTTGGGATTTCCCCTGTAGCTTATATTCATACATTGTATTCAAGTATTTGGCATTCTTCTGATTTGTAAATAGGTCTGTTAGCCTTTGATCCTTTCTCTCCTTTTCTCCATAATGAAGTATCCAGTGAACCCACCTTTGCCAAGCTATACCAGTACAACAGATATGATTACTTAGGCAAGTTGATGTCTCAGCCTATTTCTCCTTCAACTAATGCCATTGTCTGAATTTTGTATCTTTTGAGTTGGTAATTTTTATTACTCTGTTCCTACCCCAAATCTGGTGTCCTGTAGCACTTTCTATTCTCTTCTATTTTGTTTTTTGGATGTTCTGTAATGATTCTTCTCCCCTAGTTTAGCTCCCGTGTGATAATATTCCACCTGATACATATTGACTGAAAGGGTACTGTTGGTTTCAAGATTATCAGGGTTCCTTTGAGGGTCGCAAACTGAGATGGTCAGGGCCATGGCCTGAGCTCAATTCAATACCACACTAGCTGGTGGCTTTAGGGCAGGAGTAGAATGTGTGGTGAGTAGCATTTCACCTAGCAGCTGCTTCTGCTAGTAATATGAGTGGACAGTGTATCATCTCACATTTGCAGTTTCCCTCCCCAGAAACATTTGATAGTATCAGACCAGCTCTGATGAGGTGGGGATCATCCCAGAGCTAACCATGCTGGGTATGAATCAGTTGCTGGGAGTAGAGCAGCATTAGGCAGACTCCTCATGCTCGACACATCCTAGCGGCTCCAGTGCACAGTGCAAGTGCTACTGCCTAAATCGAAAATGCCCGTGTCTTCGTGTTCTAGTCACTGCATATTAATTTTTTAAAAGTGGATTATAAAAACCAAGGTGGTGATAACTAAGTTCTTAATCCAGACAGTAAGTCCAGGCCACCTGGCTGCTGCTTTTGTGCCTTGTTGTTAGAGATCTCTGGAGAGGATATGGGACCTGCAGTGACAGGTGTCCCATGCATGGCCTTGCCACTTGTATAACCACAATCGCATGGCATTCAGGGAGTTGGCAGCATGCCTAAGGAAGTTGTCCCAGGTTCCTGGACTCCAGCTTTTCGTATTTGATTCTCCCTCTCTCTCTTTTCAATCGCATAGCTTGTATGGGACACTGGAGCCGCTGTGATGGCAGCAGAAGTATTTGCCCCTTAAAGCCAAGCCCATTATTTTTGATGGAACAGCGGGACGTACAGGGCATGTCTGAAGGGCAGGACAGCTGGCACGGCGGACGACCCACCCCTTATCCCCTGGGAGGTACTTAACTTCTTGTGTTAACCCTAGCTGTAGCCTGACTTTCATGGAGGGGCTTACTCTAGATAATTCAGCCCAGCTCTGTCGTTTTCACACGGGCTCTCTGCTCCCAGAAGGTCCTGAGTGGCTTGCTCCTGTTCCAGGGATGGCCATCTCTGCCTGCCTTATGGCTTTGTTATCATCTTGCCTGGTGGCTACTGGCTGCCCTTATATTTTCATATAGAGGAGTGGCTCGCTGACTCAGAGAATGTCCCAGTCTCTAGAGACCATGTTTCTGTCTTTAAAGATGAGAACAGTGGGGGTTTCCCTCAACAGCATCTGAGGTTGACTTATTTCAGTCCCTCTTCTCTTTACTGAATAGCCCTGGGATTGTCTCTTTCCATGTTGCACCAGTGTCAAACTGGGGGGGGTCTCTATCTGTGCCAAAGTAAAATCTCAGCATTGGGACTGTGGCTGGCCTTGGAGCTGTCAGACAGGTTTTTGCTGATTATTTTTTGTTACCTTACTTTGATTTTTTCCTTTTCTGTCATTTATTTATTTTTGGTTTATTTTATTTTTATTTTTTTACAGTGCTTACTTTTCTGGTGCAGAAAGATTGTTGGGAACAGACAGGAACCAATGTGGGAATTCAACTTTAAGTTCAAAAAACAGGTATGTAGTCATATCTTCTCTTTGTTTTTCAGGTAGTATGTTGTTCTAATAAATTTCACTAGGCATAAAATTGTCTTATTGAAATCAAATAGTACACATCAAAATTTGCGATAACGCCATGAAAAGAAAAGGTAGAAGGAACTATTCTGTACGAAAGAGACACAACAGTATACTAGCTGAATGAGTGGGTACTGGAGTGGGGAACAAAGGGCTGTAAAAGACACTTGGGACAATTCAAGAGATGTGAGTATGCTGTAAATGTTAGATGACATGAAATTATTGTTAGTTTCTCAGGTGTGATAATGATACTGTGGTTATATGTAAGTGTCTTTATTCATGCTGAATAGGGGTGGAGCGTCAGTGCTCCTTTCAGATGGCTTTGCCCCCTTTACCATCTTCTACATAAAATGAGAGGTGGGAGGAGAGGAAGCAAATACGGTGAAATGTCTAACGGTAGAGGGTATACAGGAGTTTATTGCACTATTTTATTAACTTTCTGTATAGTTGAAGACTTTCTAAAGATGGGAAAAAGGGGAAAACTTGTTTTAACAATGTACTGAGGTTATTTGCCTATAATTTTTTTGTTTTTCAAAGCAAATGTATTTGCAGACAACAATAATTTATATGGTTTTATACCTGAGGCAGTTCGGGGAAGTCATGAGGAAAGGGACCACCGCCAGGAGGCTATTTATAAGAAGAATAGATAGTATCCTACTCCGTTTCTGCCTTTTGCTTGGACTGTACCTGAGATCTTGGCCACAGAGAGGATCTACTTTGCTTGCCTTTACTTCTTATCCTCAGCAGCTCATTTCTTCCTTCTGTCTCCCCTATTTAGTATCTCACTGAAGAGACACATTACAAATAAGATTAGTTATCCCTCACTTAATGAGTTACAGATAAGTTTGTAATTAAAGTGAATCATATTTTTCCATTGATTTTT